GAAGATAAGTCAAAGGTCCTGCTCGACCATGTCTGGCTTCACTTGGAAGTATGAATGAGATGTTTCCTCTGAGTTGACCCTCCTCTGAAAGAAAGAAAATTTTGACATGTTTCAATATAGATAAACCTTGAAGGCATGAATCCAAGTAAAATAAGCCACTCACAATAAGGCAAGTACTCTATGAATCAAGTTACGTGATGTACTTAAAATTGTCAAGCTACTAGAGACATAAGTACATAAGTGCTTTGTGGTTCCCAGGTGCTGGGGGTAGAGGAGAGAACATTGTTTACGGATTCATTGTTTCAATTTGGGAAGATGAGATGGTCCTAGAGATAAATGGTAGTGATGGTTGCACAATAGTGTAAATGCCATAGAACTCTATGCTTATAAATGGCTCAAATGGTAAACTCTATGCCATATATATATATAATTACAATAATGAAAACAAGGGCTCTGATGTTGTTCAAAGCTGGGACAGTGTCCAGTTCTACCAGGTACTGTATGAGTTTGAACAAACTACTTAACTTTGTTGAACTTCAATGCCATCTTATGTGACATGAGAGTAATATAAGTGCCTTCTTAGGAGGACCATTATGAAAATGAAAACAGATGATAAATGCCAAATGCTTAGCATTATGTCTGGCACCTTATATGTGTTTAGCAAATGAAATCTGCTATTCCGCTAATGAACAAGTTCTTAAGGAAATGTTGAATCTTTTTATTTTATGTGATGTGTAGGAAAAGTGGTCATAAATAATAAAAACTTTTTTTGTTTTTTTGAGTCAGGGTCTCCTTGTAGCCCCAGCGGTTCTGGAACTCACATGTAGACCAGGCTGGCCTCACAAAGATCATTTTAAGGAATCAAACTGACTAAAATTTGTAGAGTTCATGAAAAAAATAGAAGACGAAAGGAAGGGAAATAATATTTACTGAATACTCATTTTATATGTATTATGGTTTCACTTTCACAATATTTCAATGAGAAAGAATTTTACAAATTGGGAAAGCAGAAGTTTACAGAGGTTAAATAACTTGCGTAGTTGTCAGATAACATTTGAATAAAATTTGAATAAAATTTGCCTGACTCAAAAGGTTATTAAATTCTTGTATGTAATAAGACATTTCTGCATTTAAAAATAGAGCAATGAGAAGTTTAGCAGTGCCTTTGGCCATAGAAACCAGAATATTTACAAATGCTTAACCACATAAGTTGCCATTCTAGACTCTAATCAAGAAGCTGGAAAAGTCTTGGCTCCATCCTGGCCCTCTATAATACAAGAATGGATTTCCCTCAGAAGGAACTGGTTGTAACCAGATCAGGTGGACTTCAGTTACACTCAGGGATTTTCCTTAGACACAGGGAAGGATTTGGCTGTCAAGAGGACTGAAATTAAACACACCTTCAAAGTGATTGGAACCTTCCATCCTGAGAGTGAAAATATTTACTATCCCGATATCTCAGATTTTGACCGGCTTAGGAGAAATGGGTTGAAACAAGTGATCTTAAATTGTCTGAGGGTATTAAGAGTTTTTCAGAAACTAAAAGATGCTGACAGAAAAGAGCTCTAGATATGAGATGCTCCCTAGTAACTGAATCTCTTGGCTATTATTGGAAGTAGAAACAGAACCTTCCAAAAGTACCACCATCCTTATCTTCTGATGTTCAGAGACTGATGATCCAGAGTGTGAAATGGGAATCCAGTGTGCATGAACAGTAGGAAATGGAAGCTGCTACATGATCCCTTGAAGAGAGAGAAAAGAGGGCCAGACAGGAAGCCTGTGGCTTAATAAATAATCATCAAAAACTCGTGACTCTTTCAAAGAGCCAGAGTATTGAAGCCTTGCTCGAGTTAAGTTTGGACAGACTACAGGAGGGCTTTATGAAACTGTTTAACTATAGCATCTAAACAGATGTAGTTTTTTTGCAGTTATACAAAAACAGGAAAAATATTTCTTGCTGATATATTTAGTTGTATAGCATGGATATGCATACACTACTGAAAAATAATTTTTAATGAGAATAGCAGTAACAATTCCCACACTCGCATATTATCTCCAGCTACTGAAACATTTTCCACTCTAAGAAGGTACTATCAGCCTCAGGGATAGTAGTCAAATACTTGACCATGGGGACATTGTTTAGTCAGCACAGAAGTCATCAGAGAGTTGGGGAAGGGACCTGGAATTTGGTGTCCTGAGAATTAGCCCTTATATTACTGGGTTCAACAATGTTAGAGGCTCCCCATAAGGAGAGTGGATAATGGGGGCAGGCCTCAGGAATGTCAGGATAACATCTGTCCAGTACTCAGTGCGAAAGTATTTTTGTACTTTTTAAGTAACTAGCTTGTCAGTAGAAGTACCTACCAGCTGGATATCAAGTCACATGCAGATGAGCAAAATGGAGTTCTTCCAAGTGCATGACTGTCCTGTGTCTCACAACCAGCGGGCAGCAGAACTATGATCCAAGATGGTTTCCCTCCAAGCAGTGTAACTGTATTCTCAGTTAAGTAATCCATGAACATTTACTCTCCAGGTTGTTTTGCCCTCTCTCTTCTCCCTCAATTCCCTGAACCTCAGTCTTTGCATGTGTTAGGCAGGCTCTCTGCCCCTGAAGTACATTCCTAGCCCCCTTCCCTGGCTTCTTTATAGTATTGTAGTATTGCCCAAATGTATTTCTGAGCAATTCATTAAGTAACACATGATAAAAACAATAAAAGGGAAGAAAGCTATTAATGATGATCATTTAGAAGTATATTGGTATAAAAAGATTTTCATATCATGTGGATAATACAAATGGATTTTGGCAGGGTATATTCATTGACATATTTGTAGTATACATGCAATATATGTAATATATATGCTATATTTGATATACATTGACATATATGTATGTGGGAGAATGCATGTGAATAGTGAAGTATATACTAAAAATATGGGCTTTAACATGATCGACTTAGGTTTGAATCCCAGCACAGTACCTAGTCACTTTGTCACTTGATGAGGTACTTGACTGGCCTCATTGAGACTCAGTCTCTTCACCTGTAAAATGTGGAAATCATAGCATCTACTTTGTAGGGATGTGACTGGTGATAAAGAGTCATGCTCTTCCTTTTTTTCTAGCCTCCACCTATTATAGATTTTGGAAAGATAATCATCTACACAAACAACCTGAAAATCATCCGAACCCCAATGGACAAGAAGGACTTCATGAGGAAAATTCTCCAGAAGGAGGAGGAGGCTGAGGAAGAGGCCCTGGTGAGCAAAGAGGAAAACTGTGAAGACGGACCCCAGAATGATAGCCCCCTGCCGGAGACAGAAGGCACATTTCTCCACAGCCAGCAGGTGCGCCAGTGCCACTGTGCCCCTCGAGCCTGGCCCTACAGCAGTGGCCTGCACATTGCTTTGACTGCATTACTGATGTCAAAAATTTTGAATAACAACACTTAAGATGTCTAAGAAAGGTGTGAGGGAATTTTAATGCCTATTGTATTTTTTAAGATCTGAAGCTTTAACCTTGGCTTAGTTTTTTTTAAAAAATATATTTTTATTATTTTTATCTTTTGCATATGAGTATATTGCCTGCACATGTGTAAGTGCACCTGTTGTGCAATGCCCTCGAGAGTCAGAAGAGAGCATCAGATTCCCCTGGAACTGGAGTTACAGATAGTTGTTAGCTGCCATGTGGATGCTGGGAGTTGAACTCAGGTCCTCTGCAAGAGCAGCTGGTGCTCTTAACCTCTGAGCCATCTCTCCAGCCCACCCCACCCCCAGTTTAGTTTAAAAAATATTTTTATTAATTCTTTGAGAATTCCATACAATGTATTTTGATCTTATCCCCCCTTCTTCATCTCCTCAGATTCACCCCATCTCCCTACCCACATAACTTTGTGTTCTTTTTTTCCCCTACCTTAAGTTCAGTTTGTGTTGCCCAAATACTCTTGGGTATGGAACCTGCCGTGGAGCATGGTCAGCCTACCACGGGTCATACCCTTAAAGAAAACTGACTGTTCGTCTCCCAGTAGCTATCAAATACCAATTGAATGGCATGTTGTTAATATAGGCAATTATAAATCCATATTTAAAATATTTATAATTTTAATTTTGGGGGTAATTTCTTTTCATATCTGATTAGGTATTTATTGTTTTCATTGTGAGATATGGCTTATGAACATTGAGAAAAATCAGCTTTGATTTATTTATTTATTTATTTATTTTTGAGATAGGGTATGGCCCGAGCTATCCTCAGGCTCCCTATACAGTGGAGGAAGTTCTTGAACTTCTAATACTCTTGCCTCCAGCTCAAGAGTGCTAGAGTTACAGGTGTGTGTGCCACCATGCCTGGTTTATATGATGTGCTGGGGATTGAACCCACAGCTTTCTGCAAACCCAAACACTCTACCAACTGAGCTATACCCCCATCCCCAGCTCTGTTCTTTTCTTATAGGTTCATTTGTGCCTCTATTATTGGTGTTAACCTCAATCCACAATTAGTGAAGACACTATAAAGCCATGAGTCTATTTTGAAGACTGAGTGAAAACTTGAGCAATGTCATTTCTAAATCCACAAGCCAGGCGCAAGTGAACTACAATACATTGCAATATACTGAAAGGAAACAGTTGAACTGGATGTTGCTGTCAATATTGAATGTGGCGCTCTGGGGTCCTTTGGGTGCCACACTTATTTCTATGGGATGCACTCTAATTTCCCATGAGTTGGCCTAGAAAGTGGATGATAGGCTTTGGGGGAACTTGAGTTATATCCTTGCTCTGAGAGGAGGATTGGGGTCAAGAGAATGAGGAAGGCACAGCTAGCTTTGAGTGATAGCCTTAGGCCAAGGTGCCAAGTCTCTCTCTACTCTCTTGCACATCTGCTCCACGCTCCACATTGCTTCTAGGATGCACGTTCTCTCTCCCTCTCTTGCTCCATCCCATCGACCAGAGCACAAACCTCCTGGACTCCAGAAAAAAAGTTCCTGAACTTTTGTTCACATTCACTCAAGAGTCTTCTACACTGATTTCATGCCCAATAAAATACTTTTGAAATGAAAGTCTGTTGCTGTCACTCACTTCCCTGCTCCACCCCTCAAACCTTTCAACAATCTCATATTGCTTAGGATAAGACCAAATCTCTTTACTTGTTCTAGAAAGCACTGGGTAGCCTGGCCACTGCTTGCCTTTCCAGCCTATCTCATACAAATCTCTCCTTGTGCCCTTCCCTCCTCCCACTGGACATCTGTCATCTTTCACAGGTTCTTTGCACTTTCCCACTTGAGGCAAATCCTCTCTTCTTGGAGTGTCCCTTTGGCTCTCCACTCCTTACCTTCAGCACCTGAGATCATATTGGAGGTTTCATCCTGCAGAGGGAACTTGATGGCTCCCAAGAGGATGAACTCCTCCAGAATGGACCCATCAGGACTTTGTCCATCTCAGTTACAACCTTAATTTCATTTGTATGTGTGTGTGTGTGTGTGTGTGTGTGTGTGTGTGTGTGTGTGTGATTATATGGTTAAGATTTGCTTTTACCCACCAGGATTTAATCTCCATGAAGGCAGGGGTGGTGTTCATGTTGGGTATAACATTACAGCTGCCAGGTTAAAATAATAAAGCTTGGCATGTAATTGATGCTCAGTAAATATTGGCTAAGTTTGTGTGAAAAGAATACTGAAATTTGGGACCAAAGTGTCATGTTAGGAAATATTTGGCCATTGCTTCTTTTTATCTTCTTTACAAAGTGTTAAGAACCTAGCATGGTAGGCAGACAATCTGAGCATTGTGATCCAAAACCTTGCCTCCCCACTTTAAATTCTTTAATTCCATTATTTCTCCTACAGTATTATAATCCGCAGGCACACTTTTTCCCCAGAAGAGGGCAAGAAATAGTAAGATGCAGGTCACACTGCAGGCCTGAAAGAAAAAGCAAGTGCAGGCTCGATATGACAATTACCTTCCAATTCAATTTGGAGGAATCTAGTTTTTTAGCTATAGTGCTTTAAACTAGGGCAGAGCTGTGTGTCAGAAGGTTGCCAGGGAAGGCTGCACTTCACTTGTCTGTCCTTTAAACTCTCTTTTAAATTGCTGTTTGTTTGTCTAATCCCTCATGCAATAAATGCCCAGACAAGTTTTATTCTAAAAGAGAGGGTCAAAGAACATCAAGGAGGTCCTTCTGACCAAGAGACACTTTGTTTTGCTATTTGGAACTGGGGACAGAGCCTGATGAAAGAGAAGGGCAAGGCTGAAAGCTGGGCCACCTTGAACTACTCTCTATCAAGTAGAAAAGAAAGGGAGAAGAAGAATTGAATCAAGTCTTGGTAAAATGCACAAGGGGAAAATTCTGGCTTTGTGCTTAGTGGATTTAGGCCTCTAAATCATGTGGGATTTTTAATGCTTTATGTGATCTCACCTTTGAGGTGGCAGTAGTAGTAGTAGTAGTAGTAGTAGTAGTAACAACAACAACAACAACAACAATAATAATAGTAATAATAATGGCTGGTGATTATTGGAGGCTTACAATAGCCAGATATCAATATCAATGTTTTTTCCATGCAACAGTTAATTTCATTCTCACAAAGACACTGTGGCTCATATATTACCAATAGTCTTACTCTGCAGCTAGGAAAATTGAGGCTTACAGAGTTTAAATAACTTGCCAGACATCACTAGAGCCAGCAGTCAAATTTAGGTCCATGTACAAACCAACGTCATGATCACAACCACCTTGCTCTGCATTCCTGGGATTGGTGCTGGTCACTGTCTTAGGGCTACACAAGTCTGTACATCTGCAGAGAACACTAAAAACCCTCTTCTTGATCACAGAATGAGTGCGAGTTGGATTGGGAGGTTCTGCTAGGGTCTTGACCCTATACTGTGCTAGGCAACTGTGTTCTGTTCCTGCCACTAAATAGTTTGAGAAGTATTCTAAAAATTATCCAGGAAGGAAGAGGCTTCTATTTCATATGCCTGTGTGGAATAAGGCTTTCTCTAGTCTTAATTAAATATTGGTTGAACTAGTTGAATGATTGAAAAAAAAAAAAAAAACACATGGGAAGTGATAAGCCAGTAAGAATGTCACTCCACTGAAACCTGTATGTGTCCCTAAAATCATGTGACATTAGCCATCATTTGATTGAAGATTTATTCTTCTGTTCTATGACAGCCTCAGTAGGCTATTTTACGTGTATGAATCTTGGGACCACGCATTATGAATGATGTTTGATTCTTTCTTTCTTTCTTTCTTTCTTTCTTTCTTTCTTTCTTTCTTTCTTTCTTTCTTTCTTTCTTTCTTTCTTTTGGTCTTTTTGAGACAGGGTCTCCCTGTTGCCCCAGCTGACCTCAAACTTACTATGTAGATCAGGCTGGCCTTGAACTCACAGAGATCTGCCTGCCTCTGCCTCCTGAGTGCTGGGATTAAAGGTGTCTGCCACCATGCCTGGCTTGAGTGATTGTACTTTCTTTAGCAATTCTGACTTAGATCCTTTAGATTTCACAGGGATCAAGTACAAGACATAAAACACCGGATTTAGCAGAAAAAATGGATCATGGCAATTTGTTTTAAATATATTTTGGCAGACATTTATCTTGAACAACTTGAAAGAAGAAAAGCCCATTTATCCATTGTTAAGATATTAAAGTATGGCACTAATCAATAAAATATGAACACAAGGGCTAATGATATGGCTCAGCTGGTAAAGACACTTGATGCCAAGCCCAAGGACCTGAGCTCGAGTCCTGAAATCCACATGATAGGAGGAGAGACACAACTATTGAAAGTTTTCTCTGACCTCCACATATACACCATGGTATGTGTGCAACCACACATACACACACTCAAAAAACACAACTTCAAGAACAAATACACATAATATGTGGTTTTGTCAGTTTGTTAATGCTTTCAACTTTCTAAATGAGGAGTAAATAAAATAAAATGTCTTCCCAGCCTCCTTGCAACACATGGAGTTGTTTTCAAATCTTATGCCTCCTTTTGCAGAGCTTATTTTTATTTTCAGGTTGTAACAGAAAGCTGTGTTACAGTTGGAGAATGTGGGGGTATGGCTCAGTGGTTGTATTTGTTAAGCATTCTTGAAGCCCTGGTTTGAGTCCCAGCACTGCCAAACAACAATACAATACAAAAAAGAAAAAAAGTGGCATTAGGTGGGTGGAGCCACCCAAGTAGATCCAGCTGTCCTGCTGAGTCCTGGAATTCAAGAACAGGAAGGTTCTTCAGTCATCTCTGTTGTGTGTGTTTATTTGGAATCCAGTGTGTGAACAGTATTGTGCCAAGCTCTGCTCCACATATCTGGGAATAGCTGGGGAACCAGAACAAGCTAGGGAGCTTCCCGTCTGGGCCTTAGGAAGGCTCAGTGGAGTAGGAGACCTGATGCTTGGGGCAGTTCTGGTGGCTGGGCCGGCAAGACTTTCTGGAGGAGGAGCTGCATAGCTGACATCCGGGAACTGTGGGAGTTGGCGGGAGTGTGCCAGGAAGCCTAAGGATGAGAGCCCAACGCTCTGTGAAAGAAGTGTCCAAGAAATTTAGATCAGCCAAGGAGATCAGTTTTCGTTGTGAAGTTTTGTCTGGAGGGCGAGTGTTTGCTAAAAGGTTTCCTAAGTGCTTTCTCTGAGATGATCAGGATGGTAACTCAATCAGATTGGAAGAAGTGGAACAGACATCCCACAGGACCAGGTGAACTCATGCCAGAGTTAGTGGGCATCTGGGCTAGGAGTTTGGGTGTGGGCTGGAGAGCCCAAGGTGGGTGTGTAAGGATGTTTAGAAGCTGAAATGTCAAGGCTCATTCGTAGCTTCACTAGGTATCAGTCTGCTATTGCTGCTTATTCCTTGGGAGACTCAGTGTATAAGGACTGTGAAATTGTCAATTTCTTTGAGCTGTCTCAGAATTATTGTCTCAAGATAATAGCCAAGAGGCATTTTTTTTTGAATCTGGAGACATTGACAGGGCTAGAAAGGAACTGATTTTTATAGGGGAGCCTACAATATTCCAGAGAAGACTCATTTACATGTGCTATCTCACTTAATATTTCAGAACCGAGAGGGTGAGCATTGCCAGTTCCATTTCACAGACAGATAAACAGATTACGAGAGGCTAGGGGAAGCATCTTGCTCTATTGCACTTGTCAGACACCAGCCTCAGTTTGAGTGTATTGACTTCACAGCCCAGAGCATTTTTTTTTTTTTTAAAACTGAGAACTTCATACATGTGTGTAAATGTGTTTTGATCAAATCCATCCCTAGTCCCTTCTCTCCAATTCCTCCTCTGTAACTCTCACCCTCTTTCCCTTCCAACCTCATGTGCTCTCTTTTTAAAAGGATACCCACTTAGTCCACTTAGTGCAACTTGTATGTGCACTTGCGTAGGGCCATCTACTGGAGCATGGGTAGCCTTTCAGGGGCTGCATCACTGAAGAAAATGGACTTTCCCTCTCCCAGCAGCCATCAATTACCAATAGCTTCTCAGTTAGGGTTGGGACTCCATGAGCCCCTCCCTGGTCCATCACAACCCAGAGCTTTTAATCACTGGGCCTTACACAGCTCCCAAAGAGAATAAAATATTACAAGAATTCAGAGCTAAGCTTTGAGGCTGGTAACATTCACTCACTCAGCCTGTCAGTTGCCAGAAACATTCTTCCTTGAGTCCTTGCTACTGGAACACTACAATGAGGGGCTGTGTGCATAGTCATTAGAAGCATTAATTCTGGGGCTAGAGAGATGGCTCAATGGTTAAGAGCACTGACTTTTCTTGCAGAGGACCTGGGTTCCCTTCTCAACACCCACATGGTGGCTAATAACCATCCACAGCTCCATTTCCAGGGGAATCCAACACCCTCTTCTGACCTTGGTGGGCATTACACTTACCTATATGCAGGCAATATACTCATACACAAAATAAAAAATAATAAAATGTATTTTTAAAAAGAAGCATTAATTCCCATGCTCAGCTCCATGGGCCCCAAATCTATCTCTTTTCTTCCATGCTGTGCCTTACATTGCTAGGGAACTTCTCATTATGTTATTTTTCTACCACAGAGAGTATAGTACATACACTCGCTGAAATGGGAGGATGCAAGGAATCGACTTGCAAAGAAGCACGTGGCTTCTCTGAACACTTAGTGAGGTTGCAGCAAAGGTTCATTACTAGTATTTGGCATGAGGAAAAGTCATATCCTTGCCTTTATGGAGCTTGTGTCAATGGTAACAAGGGTGATGAAGGACAGAAAGTCATAGAATGCCAGATGTTGTGGCAGAAGATGCTGTGTTCCAGACATTTGTCAAAGAAATCCTCTTTGATAAAGTGGCTTTTCTGTGTCCTGACCATTTTCCTTATTATCATGTGTGGGAAGCCTTTTTCTCTAATTCTGTTCCAGCCTTTGCCAAGACCCTGTGCTGTTTTGCCCTGCATGTGAACAATGAGCTTGAACCACTGGTCTAACTAACCCTGGCTTGTCTTTTGCAGGATGGGTTGCTCCCTGAAGAAAACTGTCTCCACTGCCATGGGTCAGGCAGCGCCACCTGTTCTCTGTGCCATGGCAGCAAGTTCTCAATGCTGGCCAACAGATTCAAGGAGTCCTATCGGGCCCTCAGGTGCCCTGCCTGCAACGAGAATGGCCTGCAGCCTTGTAGCATTTGCAACCCATAACCCTGGCTTTGCGTATCTGTTTTTATTGCACTTTCTCAAAAGCTATTCCTAATAAACGGCCCCCCTCTTCCCCTCCTGCCTCTCTCAGCAAGGGAGCTACTGCAGCTGCAATCACTTCTACCACTGGCAAATCTCAAATTATTTGACGACATTTTGTGAAGCTGGTAACATCTACGTGGGTCTAAGTAGCAGGGACATTTTTGAATTAGAATCTGCTTTGAAACTGGTTCTAAAATTATCCTTCCAGGAACATGTGCATACATCTCACTTGATTTAGCTCAGTTTTCCCCTTCCTCCAGTGAAGAAATAAATGTGCACTTCAGGCAGCAGGTTGAAGTCATTTTCTGGGTTGGGAGTTATTTTGCAAAATTATGTGGCGAGAAAGGAATAAAGAGGTGGATTTCCAATGAACCAAAATCCTGTTGCTTAAAATGCATCTGAAATTGTCATTGGTCAAATTGAATTTCTAATGAAGCAGAAGAGGGAAGGGACAGCCAACACCGAAGGCACTGGCAGGCTTCTGCAAGAAAACAGGATGCTCATTCCAGAGATAGGCAAGCATAGGAGGTCTTTCCCTCCAGGGCTTCTCCTGTAGTGAGCAATACCAAAAGTTCCTTAGGTCAGGATGAGATAAGATATTTTTGTATGCCTCTCACTGGTCAGGTTATAAGACAAGCCAAACCTATTTATGATAAATTTGGTGCTCAAGCATGTATGTGTGATAGGACTTCTTCTAGCCCCTCAATGATTACCAAATACACAAATCTATTTTAAGACTACAATCTAGCCAGAATCTCTTTAGAAAGGACTGCAGGTGTTTCACACTTACCACTTGAAAACCTCTAAGAGAAAAGCTAATGAAGGCTGATATTTAGCAATCGTATTTCTACTATCCATGAATGCACACATGAAGGATGGTTCTCTCCTCTTAAAGATGGTTATTAAGTTTTAAAAACACTTTGTTAATGAACTTTTGTAGCTTGAACACCCACCTCCATACTCGGTAAGAATGACACCATGATCTATCTGTTGAGACCCGATACTTTTCTATGGCAATGATTCTGATTTAATGCCTTAGTAATATTTAAGATTTGTTTGTTATTCTCTAATATTCAGTTAAATCAGCAGTGGTTTGAATTTTGGGCGATATGAATACTTCTAATAAAGAAATGAAAGCACTTCTTTTCATGATGTTTTGCTTGTTCTCTCGTAGTTCACCTGGTTCCTTTGTGTAACTGCCTCTTGTCTCCATGTGTTTCCTATAGCTATTTACTTTCTGTCTTTCCAGAACAGCAGAAGGAGTGATGTCAAGAGATCTTAAGTGTATTCTATTCTTTGACAGGAACACTGAGCCACAAACATAGTTTGAGACCTCTTTGCCCGCAAGATGATATTGTTGGTGCTCGAGACTTTGTGTTACCCACACAGGCACCAGGCCTTTGTTACCTTGTGGATCTTTGCAGTTTAGGGGAGGAGATGGATTTGTAAACAGGTGGTTACAGCACAGTGTGGCATGGCTTGGATGGGATACTACAGGGAGCATTTGGAGCACACTGAAGGAATACTTTGCTAGCCTTAGTGGTTTTATTGTTTTCTCTTAGCGCTGGGGCTTGAACGAACCCAAGGCTTCACATGTACTAGGCACATAGTCTACCCCTGAGTTTTACCTCCAGTCACCTCCTTAGTAGCTTTAGGGAGCTGTCCAGAGGAGAAGGTATGATCTCTCTCTCTCTCTCTCTCTCTCTCTCTCTCTCTCTCTCTCTCTAAAAATAGGGTCTACTAGTAGCTCCAGCTAACCTAGAACTCTCTATGTAGCCCAAGTTGGCCTAGATCTCACAAAAACCTGCCTGCCTCTGCCTCCCAAGTGCTGGGATAAAAGGTGTGCACCACCACACCCGGCTGGCCTCTTTTCTTTACACACACACACACACACACACACACACACACACACAGAGGTATATACACACATTCTGACACCATTCCCCTACCTGTCTCCTTGCTCACTGGCTGAAACCACACCAATTTCTTTGCACATGCTCTTAAGGGCCTTTAGTTAAAAAAAAAAAAAATCATACAATAAATGTATCTATTAACGATTACATTAATTTTTTCCAGCAGGTATGTATTATTGTGATGGAAACATTTACCATCCAACCTCTTAATATTGTTTATTAAGTGTACCAAATCTTACTGTTATCAACAAGTATTTTTGAATGAACTGAAACTTTTGAAACTATAGCCAAAATAAAATTTTCTTCTTTAAAAAGCAAAAGCAAAATCAAAAACACATATTTATTGAGTATCAAGGATATAGTAGTCAGCAAACAGACGAAGTCCTGACTCCTCTGGAGCTTATATTTTGGTGAGGGAGTATCAGTGTAGATGCTTAAATACATACATTTACATAATCACTGTATATTGCATATGTGATAACTATATAAAATATGATACAGAGAAATCTGCATTTATATAACATAGCTATACACAGAATGTCCAGTTAGGAAGTGATGAATAAATGATGAAAAATAAGGCACTTGGAAGGATGGAGGATTGGAAGTGGTTGCAACGTTAGTCTGGGGAGACAGGGCCATTGAGGAGTGTTATTTCAGGAAAGGCTTAGCAGAGGTGAGGTTGCGAGCTGAGCGGGTGTCTGGGAAAGGATTAGGAAACAGCAGTTAGACCCACAGGAAAAAGAGCAGCAAAGAAGCCCTGTGGCTGTAGGGAACCCGCAAGGGGAAGTGGGGCAATGGTGTCAGAAGGGAAGGTGTGTACGTGTGTGTGTGCTGAGTGAGGTAGGGCCTTTCTTAGAAACCGTGGTACGAACGTGGATTACTGGGACACACTGCTGAGGCTGCTCAGGCAATGCCACATGCTCTTCTTACCTTCCCCCATGTTGGGAAAGGCACCGGCAAACTACACTTCCCAGATTCCCTTGCCTGATAGCGTCCAGACCTGCTCGGCCAATGAGAGGTAGTGGCAGGAGACTGCGCAGTGGGAGGTAGGACGAGCCTCCTTTTAGTCAGGTTCCTGGCAGCTGTAGCCACACCGCCGCTGTTAAAACAGCCCTGCTCGCCCGGCTGACCGCAGCGGCTTAGTTACTCCGCTGTAGCGCCTCTGATTATAGTTTCTGTGTGACACCCTTTTGCTCCTCCTGCGGAGGATGGTGGTGGCTTCCTGCAATTACGAATCTTTGTAACCAATCCTGTAATGTATTCCCTGTTTGAAATGTCTAGAGTGGTTTTTTTCCTGGTTGGATGCCGCCTGGTATAAACGTTTGAGCAGAGAATCGGGATGGGATTTGTTTAGCCGCTTGGCTGCAGGGTTGAGAGCCGATTATAAACGTTTGAGCAGAGGAGAATCGGGATGGGATTTGTTTAGCCGCTTGGCTGCAGGGTTGAGAGCCGAGGCCTTGCAGGGCAAGGGCGGAAGTGAGAGGCTGATAGTAGATGACTGGTGGCCGCTCTAGGTGGCTAGAACCTGTGTGGTAAAAGGGGGTCCAACTGTGAATGCATTTGAAGGTAGAAGCACAGGGTTTGTTGATTACCCTTCCCATTCAGAAGTCTTCGTGCTTCTCCTGTATACAGAAGATACACAGCTGAATTACTTCCCTACTGCCTATGGGAATATACATTTCCCCATTTTCAAACTGCAAACATCACCCTCCAGGTCAGGACTGAGGCCAGCTTAGGGTAAAGTTAGACTGGTACTTTCAGGATGCTAAGAATCCCTTTAGAGCTGAAACAAACATCAAGACGACGATGCTGTGATCACAATAACGCTGTTATATGCTTCGAAATCTCAGAAACTTTAAATGAATAAGTGACTTAAAAATGTAGTATTTCAGGGTGTGGTAGGACAGCCTGATTTCACATCAGAGGCAGGAGAAAAGTGGCTTTGAGGCCAACCTGAGCAATATAGTGAGACCTTGTCTCAAAAAGCAAACCAAACCGAAAAACGCCAGAAGTAGCACTGGGTAGTTTCTTTCACTGGGTTTCCATCGTGTTCTGCTCTGTTTTTCAGAAAACAAACACAAAAAAGAATTAGTGTTTACTACAAATGAAATTACAGTATTGAACCTATAAGTCAAGACAGTAAATGAATTTGACTTTTCACTTTGGGGAGTTTCGTTTCCTCTGCCTGGTCAGGCTAGCTAGATCCGGCTTGATGGTTATGTACAAAATATATTCATTTAATTTAAAAACACATATCAGTGTTAATGGGTGCAAGGCTTTGTTCTAAGTACCTTATACATCTCAGCAGGTTTAACCATCTTAACAATAAAATTTATTCAGTTACTCAGTTTACTATTTTCCTCTTTAAAATTTTTAGTTTTTAAATTATTTTATTGTGTATTTTTATTGAGTTTTTGTGTATTTCATATAATAGAGCTTTTAAATTTTTAAAATTATTTTTTATTGTTTTATGTGTATGAGTGTATTGCTTGTATGTAGGTAGGTGCACTGTGTTGTACAGTGCCCACATAAGTCAGAAGAGGGTATCAGAGCCTCTGGAACTGGAGTTTTGGATGGTTAGTTGCCATGTGGGAGCTGGGAATCTAACCCAGGTCATCTGCAAGAATAGCCAGTGCTCTTAACTGCTGAGCCATCTCTCCAGCCCCCATATAATCTTAATCAAATTTAGACCTCCTTGTGCATCTTAACTGCCCCCCCCCATAGCCTCCTCTTGCCCACCGAATTTCACGACTTCTGTCATATATGCTAAGGTCTGTCTGGTCAAGCATTTGTACTTAGATGTCCCTCTGTGCGAGTTCAACCATTGGAGTCTAGTCATCCTATCTAGAGTCACTCCCTTAAAGAAGATTGACTCTCCCTCACCCTGAAGTACTTGGTTGCCAATAGTTCCTTGGCTAAGATTGGGGCCTGCTGCCCATTTCCCCAGTTCTGTGCTTGTTTTTTTTTTTCTGATTGAGTCAGCATAGGTCTTGTGCACGCTGTCACCATTGCTATAAGTTCATATGAGCAAGTTCCCAGAGGCTCAAAAGCCTCTGTTTCCTTATGTTCATGCAGTACCCTGGCTCTTACAATCTTTCCACCCCCTCTTCTGCAAAGGTCCCTGAGCCATGGGTGGGTGAGGTTTAGTATAGGAG